GTCGTCGAAGACTCCGGCCTTGAGTGAGTTCTTGAGTGTAGCATGTGAAGGGTGTCCGAGTTGCTGATGCCAGGTTTCGGGATCCGCGCAGTAACCGACAGTTCTCTGATAATATTTGTACCGAGCCGATGCGTCGTTTTGCTCCTTTTCAGGTCCGATGTCAGTGGCGGCACCAACGTCGGTTGAGAGGGCTCGAGCGGATCTCCGTTCGAAGAGGGTGTGCGGAATTCCGATAATGTCGTCCGTGTCGGCGGCATGAACTTGGTCGCCGGTGACGAGCGGATGTAGTGATGGTGGTGATGGTGGCCTGGGCCAGTCGGAAGCAGGGAGTCCCGTCATCGGGATTCGAAAATAGCTGTGTTTGGCACCGATGACTTCGATTTGTTGAGGCCCCTGTTCTGGTGACGGCGGCTCTTCGGTGGGTTCTGGTAATTCCGCTGCTTCCTCGAAAAACTCATAAGTCACTTCCTTTTCTGACTCCTCTGCTGTGGGCTCTGGTGTGTCAGGGGCGTACTGGTTGGAAAGAGGAGGTCCGCCCTAGCTGGTACCACGAGTTGCCCAGTACAGGTCGACTGCTGCCACTTCCGCAGGGGGGAGTCCCGTAGCTTCGTCGTAGCTTCGTGGCCCCCATCCTTCACCGGTGGAGGTTCCCTAGTCGCCTCCAGTGGCGCCTCCTTCTTCGGATGCTTGAGCAACGCCCCAGCCGCCTGCAGTTGCTTCTTCTAGAGTTAGGATTTCTCCCCATGGCCCGAGCGTGGGGCCGGGACTTCCCCATCCCGTTCCAGTTGCTTCGCTTCCTCCGGTGGTTGGTTCTGTAGGTGCTCACGTGCCACTGTCTTTGTCTTCTTCCATTGTGGCAGGTCCGGTGTCAGCAGGATTGGAAGTCGAGGCAGTGGGGACCCTGTGCAATCGCAGGAGTCCGTCGGAGGCGGGTCGCTCGAGGTCCATTTCTGTGGGGTGTGACCATGTCGGCGGCTCCGTGGGAGATTTTTTCAGAAGCAGAGTGCGGTCAGAGTCTCTGGTGGTGCCCTGAGCCAAAAACTGCAGCACGAAGACTCCGTCGTCGTCTATCGCTTTGCCGATGTAAGAGTTGTTGTAAAACAGCTCAAAGGTTTTGTCTTTGCGGTTGCTACGGATGTCGACTCCGCACCACATGAGTGGCGCCAAGGAGAGCATGTTGTACTGTAGATCCGGGGCGACCAGTACATCTCCGATATGGATGGTAAACTTGGTGTCATCAGCTTCAAGGTAAACTTCACCGATGTCATATGCCTTTAGCTTGCCGTTGTTGGCGACTGTGATTTCGCATGGTCGCCGCATACATCGGGAGTTGCTGATGAATGTCGATGATCCCACCATGTGTTGCCCGCAGCAGCTGTCGAGGTACCAGGTGTTAATGCTCTCGCGGTTTTGGCGCGCGATATTGGCAATTTTTGGTGTAACCGCGCGGTCGAAGTCGCCAGTGTATGGTGAGAGAGCGAAGTACCTGTTCTCGGAAAGACTAGGAGGAGATTCCGATGTTGTCGTAGTATCGAATGCCTCTGCGACGGCGCGCCACGCAACTCATTATTGTCCCCTTGCCTTTGTCCTTGTTTGTGATGCGCGCAGGCGTTTGCGAGGTGCTTGCAACGGAGGGAGGTGACACGGTGGATGTCGCAGCTGGGGACGTCGATGGTGCTGTGGGCTGCTGGTTGGAGGAGTTGTGCCTCTCATCGGCAGCTTTCCGCTTGTAGCACTGATCGATAGTGTGGTCGGGTTTCTTGCAGTATTTGTAGAATGTTCCCTTCTTTCCACGCTGCTCCCCTTTAGTCGCGACAGTGAAGAACACTAACTTCTCCCGTTTAGTGTTCTTTTCGTTGTACAGATCGATCTCCTTTTGTTCGGAGATAAGCGTCGCGCACAAGGCGGACTCGAAAATGGTTGCTCTTGCGCAAAGCAGCGACTGACATTGGCGCCAGTCGGGTCCGAGGTCGGATATGACTATCGAGATGAACATGTCATCAGGGACGGTTCCACCACACTTCTTGATGTGGTCGCGCAGATTGCGACACCGATTGATATATGGTCCCGCTTTCTGCCCTTGTTGCATTTTGACCGAAGTCAGTTGGCCGAGTAGGCGACTCATTGTGACTGGATTGGTTGCCATGTATGAGTTGCGCAGGTGTTCCCAAGATGCGTGCGCGGGGGCCCACTCAAATTTATAGGAGTGAATGCCAAGCTGCTCGGAGGGGGAGAGATTCCGAAGAAGAGTGGTGTACGCAAGAGGGATTCGTGGTAATACTGGTGCTTCTCCTGGATGGTCCCTTCCGATGGAAAAGGTAGGCTTCCATCGTAGTACATCCAAATTTGGGCAGTTGTTGCGAGAAGCTCAAATTCGAAGCTCCACGTGTAGAAATCCTTGCCGTCGGAGGGAACGGAACTCTTCAGCTTTGAAGTCAACACGAACTTTGTTTGCATGGTAGCAATTCTTTCTGAATTCCCCCGTTGAGGGTTGTCGTGTGCAGGAGCTGAAGCTTGACGGTTGTCAAAGGTGAAGGACCTCTCGGAGTTGACGCGGCGGTCTTCTCCTGGGAGAGGCAGTCCAGCAACTCCTCTGGCGTAGCTTGAGCCGTCAATGCTCATTGCTTGATGGCTCTCAAGAGCGTTGATGCGAGCGACTAGTTGCTCGACGACAGCGGCGCTGACGGAGGTCACCGCTGATGGCGCATTAGTCGTTGCTGGTGGTGGGCCCGGAGAGTCTGCAGTGGCTTTCCCTTCAGGAGCCATAATGGTGCAGGCTTGTAATGTATTGAATGATTTTATAGAGGGTTTGCTCTAGGAAGAACAAGAACTTGGCAGGTCTTATAATCCACTCTAGCTCTCATACCATGCTAGAATAACAGAAGGATCGAGGTGGATAGGATAAGCTTTGCCAAGTGTTGAGAGGGAAGACTGAAGAGTCTTTGAGTAGTGACCTTGTTTATATTAATTAAAGGAGAACAAGATGATTTTTGATAGAGTTACAAAGAGAATAAATAGATACCTAGCTAGCCATGTACTATGAGGGGTACATTCCCTTATTGCAACTGTATTGCATAACTACAGTAACTGTGACTATTGCCATTCTTCGACAGTTACTTGGTTGCATTGCGTAACCTCTGATGCGGTTGTCGGTTGGTCAACAGTCACGACTGTTGACTTTCGGTGACTGTTGACCTTCGGGTGGCTGTTGAGCTTCGGGTGTCTCTTAGGCTGCCAAGTACTCTGTATGAGCTTGCAGCGATACTGATACAGTAACACTGCTTTGTTACGAGGTGGTGCGCTAGGAGAAACCTTTCGGGAATGCTGTAGTAACCTTTCGGTTATTCCAACACGTCGAAACGCGGTTGGATAAGGATTGGTACGAACAATAGCGGTAGTGATAGAATGGTTGAGTAGGGTATTGAGTGAGTACACCCTATTCTCGATAATTTCACACCCCTTAAGCTCACACACTGGAGGTGGATACCTTGGTCACAACTTTCTCGCAGGGTAGTTACTGGAGTAGATTGAATGATCTAGGGGAGAGTCCTGCACCCCTCTCATGAGTAACACACACTGCAAGTTTTAAAACCCGTGGGTCGAGAAGGCCAAAATTGGCTCATTCTTCCTAATGTTGGTTGGGTGTCCCAAAAACGCCTGTGCTTATTCCCGAGTTCTAAGACCTAGACCAACATTTTCGACACTCAAATTGGCTCACGGGCGAATACCGTCCTCACTCCCAACCAACCTTTCTAAGCTGGAATAACTTTGCCTGCGGGTTTTACGAAACTGCACCTCCAAGTAGTCCCTGAATTTCTGGATGTCCGTGGTATCGAGACAGAATAGGTCTGAGGGCGTGGAACATTTTTACGAACACGTAGAATGGTCGAATTTACGGTTGCTTCTGGCGATTGCGAAGCATTTAGGGAAACCCTACCGTGTGACATGCCAAGTATTCACCCTCACTCGACCGAATGTCAACGGTATTTCCCGTAGGATTTTTGTCACCCAAACCTACACTGTCCAGAGAAGTGGGACAACGTTTAACTTCGATTGTACCCCGAAAGTGTTTTCCAGCCCAACTCTACTTGCAAAACACAATTTTTCCGCTCCCCTCGAGGTTCCACACCCCTTTCGAATGCTTAAACTAGTATCGGATGTTTTTTCTTAGTGGGGGTAGTATTAGTGGGTGCCCCGCGTTCTGGCGAACAGAATAGCTTAAAAATCTCGCATCCTTCGCATCTCTGTTACACTCTTCGCAATCGCCAGATCCAACCATACAGGCGACCATTTGGCATGGTCGGAAAAATGTTCCGCGCCCTAAGGTGTATCTGAAACAGGGGGTAGGGGCTGTGCGTATCGAAAATAGGGTGTACGTATTTTTCGGACCCGCCCTTACCCATTCACCTAATCCTCAAGCTTCACTATACATTCTCAACCTCCCACCCATCGCGCGAGCTTCAGCTTTAGCCAGTGTGGTTTGTGAGGACTGTTGTGCGAGGGCGAGTGGGGCGAGAGTGAGCTGCGAAAAATAAAGTGAAGGGAATACAAGTTAGCCACGAGGTGGCGCGAGGCCCGAACGGGAGTGAGCCGCGATTACGCGCGAGGCGCGGACGGGAGGGAGCAGAGATTTCGCGCGAGTGGCGGACGGGAGTGAGGGGCGACGGGACGGGGAGGCGCGGACGGAAATGAGCAGCGATAACGCGAAGGTGCGAGGGGGAAAGCAGTGAGAGGTGCGAGGGGGACGGAGGAGCAGCAAGAAAATGCTAGGGAGTAGGCAGACACTGGTGTGCAGGGGTGGCGCTTCAGAAGCAACTCCCGCGTCCGCACATTGCGACCTGTGCGCATATCTCCGCCCTCCCTTCCCCCTCGACATGCACCTCCCTTCTCCCTTTCCCCTCTCTGAATTACACCCTTTTCCCCCTTTCCCCTCTCGTCCAGTCTCATAGCAGCATTTGTCCAGAACCCCGTTCGTAACTTTGAGAGTGGAACGAGCAATCATGGCAACGCCAGTCACACCCGTAGGGGCAGCGGCGCAAATGGGAGCGAGTGGGGGCGTGACGGCAACGAGGGCGGCAGACGCGGAGAGGGCGCAGCTGGTGCAGCAGCTGAACCTGGCGGGCGTGCGCGCGCGCGTGGCGGAGCTGCAGGGCAGCATCGCGCGCGTCATGGGCGCCTTCCACGAGCAGCACGTGCACCTCAAATGGTACGAGCAGCACGTGCACCTCAAATGGCAAGTCGCCTCCCACCTCCCCCACATCGCCCGTAGAACCTCACTCCGTGCGACCATGGCGATGCACGCTGTTTCGCGATGCACGCTGCTTGGCGCGTGCGACGGGCCAGTGCCAGCCCGTCAGCGCGCGTCCGGTGCTGTGTGCGACAGGACAGGATGGGCGAGGGCAGCAGAGAGGAGATGGGCACGATGGGCGGAGGTGGCGGGGAGTGCGGTGCGGGTGGCACGGCACCGCGTGTGGACGTGCAGGTGGGTGCAGGTGGGCGTGCTGCGTGCTGCTTGGGGGCTGGCGGGCATGAGCAGATGCACTGAACGGAGGGCTTTCAACACATCCACACGCCCGCGCCGCCCGCCATCACATCACACGTGCCATCAGACAGACATGCGTGCCATCAGACAGACATGCGTGCCATCAGACAGACATGCGTGCCTCTCACGTCACTTGCTGCCTTTCCCGCCTCTCAACCGGTCTCTCACACCACTCGCTGCCTTTTCTTGCCTCCCCTTCACCGCCCCATCCGCTCACCTGCATCGTCCACTCAGCTGCACTTGTCCCACCACGCAGGGCGAGGGGGGTGCCGCCATTCACCCGCCTGCCTGCTGCCCTCCACCTCCCCCCTCACCCGCCTCCCCTGTCCCCACCCCCGCACCCACCCCCCGCGCGCCCATCAGGTCGGAGGCGGTGGCGGCGCTGAGTGTGGTGAGTGCGGGGCTGTACAGCCTCGTGGATGACGTCATGCCCATGCTGCGCTCCTTCGCTGTCTGCCCCGCCACCGTCACCGCTCAGAATGCTGCCGGTAAGCCACACACAATGCTGCCGGTAAGCCGCACACAATGCTGCCGGTAAGCCGCACACAATGCTGCCGGTAAGCCGCACACAATGCTGCTGGTAAGCCGCACACAATGCTGCCGGTAAGCCGCACTGCTGCCTGTAAGCCGCACACAATGCTGCCGGTAAGCCGCACACAATGCTGCCGGTAAGCCGCACACAATGCTGCTGGTAAGCCGCACTGTTGGAGTGGATTGTTGGAGGGGTGAGAAGTGTTGAATGACGGACGGCACGAGATGTGGCTGCTGCTTTGTGCCTCTCCGCCATCTCCCACTGTGCGTTACTGCTACATTCGCCCCCACCACGTGCTGCACTCGCCCCCACCACGTGCTGCACTCGCCCCCACCACGTGCTGCAGTGTTGTCAGCCCATTCCAGGGCCATTCATGCACTGCCACGTGTTCATCCTCCCTCGCCCTCCACCCTCGTGCCTCAGCCCCCTACTTTCCCGTTACCCCCGCGCTTCTATCCTTCATGCTGCCTGCACACCCGGTTGGAGGTGTGTTTGTGCTGGGGTGCATCAACAAATGTCAAACCCAGGCTGTGCACACTCCAATATGGTCGAGCTGGCAACCGTGCCCGGTTGAACCTAGCCCTTGAGGATGGGCTGTCACGCTCCTGCTGATCCCACAAAGTGTCTCGCAACGCACCCACCAGAGCCGCATCGGCGAGCGTTCCACGTGCAAGTGCAACTGTGGGTGGATGTGACACATGCGGGGACGGGACCCACGGCACGCCTACCGTGCATATTGCATATTGCATATTGAATATTGCATATTGCATATTGAATATTGCATATTGCATATTGCATATTGAATATTGCATATTGCATATTGAATATTGCATATTGAATATTGCATATTGCATACTGCACGCGGATGTGTGCATCTTGCAATCTGCCTGCTCACCTTCCACCATCTCGCATTTTGCCGGCAGATCCGTGCCACCCTGGGAAGCTATACCTCACCACACCTCCCAAACGTAACCCATTTGGAACGTGAAAAGAACACAGTAGAAGGACATGTTCTTCTCAAGGTGAAAGTGCACAACCTACAACACTCTCATTCTTAAGCGTCTTCACTCTCGTTCTCTCGTTCAGCAGCAGAGCCAGCTGCTCGTCCTTACCACCGTCCCTCACGCCAATCTTGCTGCAAGCCCTCCCACGAGCTGCCAAATGGTTGCCCTCCCACGAGCTGCCACATGGTTGCCTCCTTGGGCTTGGCTTCGCCCCCTTGGCTGTTCCACGATTCAGCAGTTGCTCGTCTTTTCACTAGCCTTCTAGCATGCTCAGGGGTGTGTTTGAGTATCGTCTATGCTATGCTAGTATGCTTGTGCAATGAATGGGATGTACTTATAACTTGTGTTGGGATGTCCAGCCCTTGCTGCGGTGTATTCCAAAACACAAACAATCATGGTTGATCGATGCAACCACAATAGCCACCACCAGTTGTGTGGGCCCAATCCTGCCACCTCACACGCGTGAATTGCCGCTCCAACCACAGTAGAGAGCAACCACAGTAGAGAGCTACCTATTCATTCTCGAGTATGTTAGTACTCTCATCCCACCTCTCAATCAATCCATACCTCCCTCGCACTACCTCCCCCTTTCCATGTTCTCCTCTATCCCGGCTCTCCCCATGCATCACCACCCCACCCCTGGCACCAGTGCTGCCCATAATGCTGTCGTCCAAGCTGCTGCCGGAGATGGAGGTGGACGGGCGGGCAAGAGAGGACGCACTGAGGTCCCCGCTGGCAGCACTGCCGGTGGCACAGCAGCTGGAGATGCTGCAGCTGCAGGTGGGCGCCTGCCCTGCCCGCCGCCTTGCCTCACCTCGTTGTGCCTTGCCTCACCTCGTTGTGCCGTGTGTTGTGCCACACACTGGGGGATGGAGGCGCAGGGGTGGGTGCAGAGCCACGATGGACGAAGGTGCAGGTGGGGTGGGCGGTGGTGGGATGGCCATCGAGCTGTGTGTGCATGGTGGCGAGTCAACGCTGTTTTCACTGCTTGTGGATCACTCCAACAATTGATGTCATCTCTTCGCCCCCTTCTCTCTATCACTCCAAAGCAAGCACTCCCCTCCCGTCCCTCCCTTCCCTCACCCACTGCGGCGAGTCTGCATGGCATCACGTGCACATCGCAGCCACTGTGGCCCGCCTATGCCCATGGAATGGAAGTCCCACTGCTCGCCCTCTTCACACCCACTGCTTGCCCCTCCCTTCCCTTCCCTCTCTCCCCCTGCCCTCCACTCTCTCCCTGCCCTCCCCTCTCTCCCCTCTATCCCCCCTCTCCCCCTCCCTTCACGGGGCAGGCGAAGATGGTGGACGTGGCATGTGAGCGCGCGGAGAAGGTCATTCTCGACGCGCGCAAGGCGCATGGCATCGGCGCGCGCCAGGCGGCAGCCAGCGTGGCGGCGCTGTACGGCGCAGGCAGCATGGACAAGGCTGCTCTCGCCCGCGTGGCGGAGCAGGAGAAGCTTCTTAGAAATGCACTGGCCACTGGCGAGGGTGAGTGGTTGGGAGGGCGTTGGGGTGTTGATGGTGCCAGGCGGGGCGGGGCGCCCACACACACCTGTTCGTTGGAGGCTCCCCTCCATTTGCACCCCTCTTCCTCCTCCTCGCCACCTCTGCTCTTCTCTTCTTTTCCTCGCCGCCCCCCTCTTCCCTCTTCCCGCCGCTCATTATGCATTTCTCTTCCCGCCGCTCATTATGCATTTCTCTTCCCGCCGCTCATTATGCATTTCTCTTCCCGCCGCTCATTATGCATTTCTCTTCCCGCCGCTCATTATGCATTTCTCTTCCCGCCGCTCATTATGCATTTCTCTTCCCGCCGCTCATTATGCATTTCTCTTCCCGCCGCTCATTATGCATTTCTCTTCCCGCCGCTCATTATGCATTTCTCTTCCCGCCGCTCATTATGCATTTCTCTTCCCGCCGCTCATTATTCATTTCTCTTCCCGCCGCTCATTATGCATTTCTCTTCCCGCCGCTCATTATGCATTTCTCTTCCCGCCGCTCATTATGCATTTCTCTTCCCGCCTCTCATTATGCATTTCTCTTCCCACCTCTCATTATGCATTTCTCTTCCCACCTCTCATTATGCATTTCTCGTCCCACCTCTCATTATGCATTTCTCTTCCCACCTCTCATTATGCATTTCTCTTCCCACCTCTCATTATGCATTTCTCTTCCCACCTCTCATTATGCATTTCTCTTCCCACCTCTCATTATGCATTTCTCTTCCCACCTCTCATTATGCATTTCTCTTCCCACCTCTCATTATGCATTTCTCTTCCCACCTCTCATTATGCATTTCTCTTCACACCTCTCATTATGCATTTCTTTTCCTCTCCACGCTCCCCAAACCCCCTCCCTTCTCCCCCACCCCACTCGCTTCCCTTGGCATGGCATGGCTTCAGGGTTCCGAGTGGCCCCACAGCCGCCCGCTGCTGGGCCTGCCCCTCCCGCCCACCGCGTGCACCCAAGCCAGGCGGCGCCGGCAGCAGCGTCCCTGCCGCCACACATGCGCCCACACAAGAGGAAGCACCCGCATGACGACGCCACCGCTGCTGCCGCCACCGCCACTGCCACTGTCACTCACACTGACGTGCCTGCCTCATCACCCGCCCCGCCTGCATGTACGTTGCCAACTCTCTCTTCCTTGGCCCCCATCCCCTCTCTCTCCCTTGGCCCCCATCCCCTCTCTCTCCCTTGGCCCCCATCCCCACTTTCTTCCCTACCCCCGTCCCCTCTCTCCCCTGCCCCCGTCCCATCTCTCCCCTACCTTCCCATCCCCCGTCTGCCCTGCCCTCATCCGCACTATCTGCCGCAGTGCATGGTGTGTCGGCACCTGTAGGCACTGCCCGCACATCACCAAAATCATGCAAACCCGCACGCATTGTTATGCCATTCCATCCCCACGCATCCTTCGCTGTCAATCCCACTCATTCCCTTCCACACTGCCCTTCTTCCCTCCCCATCCCCTCCCACTGCCGCCCTTGCCCCATGCAGCGGCACCCCTTCCTCTGCCGCCCACCGCATCTGCTGCTCCCTCCCTCACCCCATCGCACCCGCTCTCCTCCGCTGCTGCTCGCCCCTCCCCACCGACCGCCCCTCTTGCCCCCTCGGCCGCGTCGCCCTCCCCGCTCACACCTGCTGCCGCCGCTGCTGCCAGTGCAGCGGGTGGGGCGGCACCTCGGCCACCCGGTGCAGCAGCAGGGTCGGCATCTCTGCCTGTGCGCCCCTCCACCGCTCCGCTCACCACCCCCTTGCCCTCCCTCTCCACCGCTGCTCCCGTCGGCATCGCACGCCCCTCTGCTGCACCCAATCCCATGCTGACAGCTAGCGGCGCGGGCAGCACAGGAGGGGGATCTGGAGCGCCGACGATGCTGCTGGGCATGCCGAGTGGCATGCGCACGTTTGAGGGGCTGGGAGGGGCGCTGCTGGGCGTGCCGGGGGGCTGGCCCGGCGCCATGCCCGCCTCGGCAGGTGGATCCTCTGCTGGAGGAGCGGTGCCGCTCGGCCGAATGCCGCCCTCAGGCTCGGGTCTGGTTCGGCCGAACGTACTCATGGGGGGGTCTGGCCAAGCTGCAGGTGCAGGGTTGGCAGGTGCAGGCAGTACAACAGGAGGAGGTGGTGGGGTGGGTGTGCCTGGCGCAGCAGCGGGGTCTGGTGGGGCTGCAGCAGGGGGCATGGGCGACTTTGCTGCTGCTGGCGCCCCTTCCCACGCAGGGCCAGCAGCGGTGGGCGGGGCAGAGGTGGCAGGGGGGGGTGGAGGAGGAGCGCTGTCAGCGCTGGGCGCCACCATGGGGGCAGCAGGGCCCATAGCAGTGCCGCAGATGAGAGGAGCCTACGCTGCACCGTCCCCGGGCAACCTTGGGCAGGTGGCATCGGCACAGATGCACCTGGCCACGAGCCCTCCCCAGTACGGCCTGCACTCCGGCACGGGCGGGTTGTCAGCCCCGTCGCCCCCCGTGTTCCAGGCTCCGTCACCCGCCCTGTCGTACAACGCTCCCTCGCCACAGCTCATGCACGCCTCGCACCCGCACTCTCCCATGCTCCCCCTGCAGCACCAGCAGCAGCTGCAGCAGCAACAGGCAGCCTCGCCCATGGTTCCCGGTGGTGGGGGGGGACCGGGGCACGGGGGGGCGCAGCTTCTGCAGCAGCCAATGGCATCACTGAGTCAGCAGAGGCAGATGCAGCGACTGCACCTGCAGAGGCAGAGGCAGCAACAGCAGCAACAACAGCAGCAGCAACAGCAGCAGCAGCAGCAGCAGCAGCAACAGCATTTCAACTAGTGGAGGCGCATGTTACCACAAGAGCTGCATGGGTTGATGGTGGTGTGACACCTTGGTGGGGACGAGGTCCTTAGATTGGATTTAGGGCATGCTGAAGAATCAGACTGCCCTGCCCAAAATTGTGTCCAAATCAGTGTTAGGGTAGGGGTTGAGGTTATCAATGCCCTAGTTAGTGTGAATTTCCAAGGCCATCTGATATGTCATTGCAAAAAAATACATCACATCACACTGGCTCCACATTGATGGGGTCTTTGCCAAGTTGAAATGTCAGTGCTAATGTCGTTAGGTTCGCTCTACAGGATACAGGGTTCGGGGTTTATGATGACATTTGCATTAGAATGGTTTATTCTAATGGAGAGCACATCCACGGCAGCTAGGGTATCAGATTTTTTCGTCGGATTGTATGGATTTCAGACTCATGTTTTATGGTTCAGCTGAATCAGTAGACAAGGGTTTTGTTTTCATCTGAATCATCAGTAGGAGCGGAATGATGGAGATTAGGTCAAGGGAGGGGGTACAAGCAAAGTGTCGAAGGATTTATACCCCCTTACATGCAACTCACTACAGCCTACTATGTTAATATAAACATGGTAGTTTGACACACCCCCATAGGCTAAGTGAGGGGCATCAAAATGATCAAGACAAGCAAATGGTCACAAGACCAGTCCAGAAAAGGAATACAACAAGCTCAGGGTGGATCACGAAGTCACCACACAGTCTAAGCACTAGCCAGGCCACAAGGCCAATTTAAGAGTTCATAGATACATTTATGTATATATAAGTAAAGCAAGAAACAAGAGGCAAGACTACAAAATCGGAGTACCTACGTCAACAAGGCCTAGCTGCAGACAGAACCTGTGGCAGTCACCAGGCGGAAGGGTCTTGGTGAAGATGTCTGCAGTGTTGGCCTCTGACTCCACGAGGTCCAAGCGTGCCTGGCCGCGTCACTGCAACTCTCGCAGGAGAAAGTACCAGACATCGATGTGCTTCATGTCAGAGGTCCACTGGTGATCCCCGATTGATCCTAGGGAAGGGTTACAGGCACGTTGGTCTGGGGGGTTATGGGCGCACTCACCCGCTACACAAACAAGCCCTTTTATCCCAGTGGTTAGTGGCTGGGATTCTGACACTTCACTCTGCTCTAGAGTCGAGGCTCTTGACACAAGAGGATCATGGCCTTATTGTCAGCGAACAAGGTTGGTGCAGAGCTCGGCCGCTCACCAAGGTCGGTGAGCAAGAAAGTCAACCGATCGCAGCCATGGCACCGGCGTAGATCTCTGCCTCAGCACTAGTCGAAGCAACAGACGACAACCGAGTAGACCTCCATGCCACAACTCCAGCGCACAAGCTGAAACACCCCTGAGTAGACCTCCGTGTCTCCACGTCGTTGGCGTAGGAAGAGTCGCAGTGACTGGTAAGAGCAACTGGCTGTGTCCCTCCAAGCACAAGGCCGATGCCTGATGTAGTCGCCAGGTACTTCGCCACCCTCACAGCAGCTGTCCAGTGAACATGATGGTGTCTCCCATTCGCAACAAAACGAGAGAGGATGCTGAGGGGAAAGGCGAGGTCCGGACGAGTACAAGTCATCAGGTACATGAGGCAGCCTACAAAACTTTGCGTAGGGACCACTAGACTCAAAGGGCTCGTCGGGAAAAGGGCCGGTGAGTCTGTGGTCAACGGCAAGAGGAGCGGGTTGTGTGGTGGATAAATAAAGCCCAAACCACTGAAGGACCTGCTAGATTATTTGATGGTGCGAGCGGCTCTGTCCCTGGTGATCTGCAAGCCAAGGTAGCGGCGCAGCTCTCCAAGGTCAGTGCATGCGTGTCTCTTCTTTAGTTCGGACTTCACCTCAACCAGAGCAGCCCTGTCTGCTGTAGCGAAGACCAAGTCGTCAACGTAGAAAAGAATGAAGAAAGGTGTGGGCCCAGAACGAACGAACGAACAGCGATGGGTCGACGGACGAAGGACGAAACCCGAGGGCAGCAAGAGTTGTGTACGCCGTGTCGTGCCACTCACGGGGCGCCTGGCGGAGACCGTAGACTGGTCGCCTCAGGCTCCACTGGGTCCCAGGCGGGAAAGTGCCAGTGAAGCCAGGAAGACAGCGTAGCCATATCTCCTCGTGTAGGCGACCCTCGAGAAAGGCAGTGGAGAAGTCGAGGGAGTGCAGCTCGTAGTCTCGCTGTGCTGCAACGTGAAGTAACACCCGAAGAGTAATCATCTTTGGGGTCGGGGCGAAGATCCGAAAGAAGTCAACTCCCTCATGCTGACTAAAGCCCCT